AAACACACATAAAAAACCAATACCATTTTGAGTAGACGCAGCTCGTGAAATTGAGCTGCGATTTCGATATGCAATGCTTTTCCATCTCATAAATTGGCGCTGCAGTACATAAAAGAGAATTAATATGATATGACAGCAACTAAAAGTAATACCCAAGGGAAGTAGAGGAAATTACAATTTTTTCTTCTCCATAGTTTATCTCGTGGAGAATCTTGGAACACATGAGAGGAAAACACTCCAAGCTGTTTCATGACATAACAACTGTAAGTCAGCGCTTGTATTCCCAATCAGTAGATACTCCATATGATGATAACCAATTATTATTTTTTTGGCATATACCTCAAGCATCCTCAAATATAAATCTTTGTTGTGAGAAGGAGAATTCAGAAAAACAATCAGAAGCATAATGAAAAACTCAAAATTCCAGGTAGGAGAAAAGAAGCAGGCAAGAAAATGTATTAAGATTGTTTCCACATTAAACTTGTCAACAGCTTTAAACTTACATCCATAATTCAACCCCAACCCAAGAGAGTAGGAAATATCAGTTTGTCCCTATGAAGTTAGCTTTTATGTTATATCTATGTAAAATCAATCAAAACAAAAAGAAAATATTTTGTTAAAACTAATTAAAATATATTCCGGAGAAATATCTGATGAAACATCAGACAAAAGGCTTAAATTAATTATCTGAAGTCTAAATAAAACCAACCAATCACCGTCTCTCTGCTCTGGATGGAAAACGCATGCAAAGATATATATTGGTACTTTTTAACCGAACAACATTGAGAAACATAAGACAATTAAAACATGCGTAGAATATCATCCTTGAAGAATATATATGCTACTGTGATAACATCACTTGCAAGTAGATCATAGACCAATAGGATCTTTATTTTTTATAAGAAGATCAATAGAAAATATTACCAAATGATATGGATTTGATAAGATATAATCATCTTCCTGGCTCAACTCTCCATCTTTTCCACTGCAATAATAAATGAAAGTAGGACATTAGAGTTGAAAGGAAACTAGAAAACCAGCTCTACAAGAGATATTTGAATGAAACAGCTCAAAAAAGGAGATCATGAATACATTAAATTAGAATGCAAAAATGGTCAAGCATCTTTAGAGTTTGCAAATTCGCCCTCCAGAAAAGCACCCCCCATCACTTAGGAATGCAGAAATTGAAATTTTAAGGTAATAATGGAGCTTGAAACTAGGGAGTACACTGAAGTTAACATGGGGACGTGAAATTACGATGTGTCATATTGGCTTAACTTAGGGATCACACTCAACGATGAAAAATGAAATAAAAAATTACTATCAATTGAAAAGTGCCCCCTTCCATCACTTAGGAATGCAGAAATTGAAATTTTAAGGTAATAATGAAACTTGAACTAGGAAATAGACTGACATTAACATGGGGACATAAAATTACAATGTATCATATTGGCATAACTTAGGGATTGCACTCAATGGTGAAAAACAAAACCAAAAATGACTATCAATTGGATTCCATCTCATTCACAAAGATGCAAACTGTTCATGTAGTCCTCTAAACTAATGAAGTTTCTTGAGTAACAAAGCCTCTTGCTGAGCAAAAACTTAACAGAAATGGAGCTATCTTGGTGACACAATACTAAAAACAATATGTGGCCAATCATAACATGCGTAAATGCACACACATAAAAAGATGTATTATATATTTTACTTCCTACAGTCATGTTCCCACTCTATAACGACTGGAAGAATCAATGTGATAATTCCAAAGCTAAAGGTTATGGAAGCCAAGTGAAGTATCCAAAAAGCAATCCAGTTAACTGAAGAAATTTCTAGTGGATGCAATTGGTGTTCATGATCTAGAACTATGTACATACCAGTTTGGATGAGTAAGTCATCCTTCGAGAAGCAATAAAGCACTCGTAGCAGTTAGGTGACTGAAAAACAGTGCTAATTACGGAACTCCCAATCAAGTATGTGCAGCAAACAAATCCAGGCCTACTCTAAACCAAGTATTTTTTCTTATTTTAGAGAACATCCACCGGAAATTTTTAATATATATCAAAGTAACTTCGCCTATGTGATAATCAAACTTGATAAGATCTGTTTACAGAACAGTAAGAGTTGCCAACATGGTAATTGACTGAGTACTGCAATCCCAAAAAAAAAAAAATTCAGGCATGGTTGGGAGACCACAGAAGAAAGAAGCAAAAGAAAAACTTCACATTCAACACATATCCATTTTAATCCAACCACAGCATACCATCAATGTTGATTAACAAATGGACTGGAACAGTATACCTGTTAGCCACAAGTCGAAGTTGTCTAAAGGGCCATATATACACGCCTTCTACCCTGATTTGTGCACCTCCAACATTGTGCTCATTGTCAAACACATCATGGAAAATAATTACACCCTGTTTTCAGGAAAATGATAGCACAATCAGAATTTTTTTCTTTAATTATCCAGTATTTTTTTCCTTAATAATATTGAGTCCCATTTATATTGATATGAAAGAAACCATGAAGAAGCCCTGGGCTCCGTCTCAAATTTGAGCAAGCAAGATCACAAGGAAGCCAGCAGCTCAAATCCCTCTTGCTATGCATTTTTGCTATATGGAAAGGAAGAAATAGAACAATTTTTTATGGGCTGTTCTCCTTTTTATAGGGTAAGGAACCTCTTCACCATTTGTATTTTGTTTAAGGGGCCACTCAACAATGGGAAAGACTTGGAAGCTTTAATAGGCATCTTGACTAATTGTACTTTGTAAATCTTTTGTAAGGGGGGTAGGACCCTTTTGTTGCCTTGTAAGTGAATTGTCTTTTCCTTTTTTTCTTCAGAAAAAGGAAAACTATGAAGAAGCCCAATTTACTGATGCAAATGCAATGTTCGTAAAGCTCTATTTCTTCAAGCAATAAATATATAAAATAAAGGAAGGAAGAAGCTGTGAGAATAGCTAAGTACTCTGCATAATATAGTGAAACAGAAGTTACATATGAACTTTCTGTAACCTGGAATCTTCAGTCCAATACACGTTTCCATCAACAAGATTGATTTTCTTGATTTACTCATTGATTAGAAGATATCTTTACCATATTAACTAAAAAGTATGTGCTAGTAATGGATAATGTTTCCTGAAAGTTCAACCAACTTACCTGAACATAATGTACACCGGTTATTTTTGTTGGCGTGCTAACTAGTTCGATGATGGAGTTACCATTTGACTTCCTGAAATCTGGAAACCTGGAGGAGCTGTTTGTTGAATCTAGAAATTTCCAAATCCCTGCATATTATATGTCCAGATGGTCATATAATCATGTCACAACAAGAAATAAACTTGTTAAGGCTATGTTTGATGCAATGAACTCATGGTACCAGTCACTATTCTAAGGTTTTCACGATAATGCCAATCGCTCCAGCAACTTTTACCTATCTTTTTATTTTGATTAAAAGTGTCATTTTGATTGCTAATATACATTTTTTTACAGGAAAAAAAGATAATACTAAGAGGGAGAGAGATAAAACACGGATAAGGTAACCACTCTAAAGAGGAGAAACAAAAACAGACATCACAGAAAATAGGGAAAAGTTGCTGATCTTAGCATAGAACAGTCTCCAACTCTTTTGCAGGATAGATGAAGGCAATCTCTGAAAACAACTATGTGCCTTCACCAATTTGTTTTTGAGATAAAAAGAACGTGTATTAAGTGTAAGGCACTAAGGGAGTGTCACCTTAGAACATCAATAACCTTCCCACCCATCAAACGCTCATTGTTTTTCTCTTTTCGCACCACCCAAAAAATAGTTAAAGGTATAAGCTCTACAATTTTTGATTTCTTACAAATCTCATTCCACCGCCTAAAGTTCATCCCTAACCGTACCTGCAATCACCCAATTGATACCTAGAAGTCTATAAACCAAAGTCCAAATATGATAAGCCACCGGGCACCACAAAAGGATATGATTACAAGATTCTACGTGGCTCCGCCAATAACATTCTGCACCAAATATGGTGAGAACGATAACACAATCATTAAAAATTCTGACATTATGTTCCAGATGCAAAACCCATCATCCAGCAAAGAGCGACCCTCTCCATGACATTCTGTGCTCTTTATTCTTCATACAACCCAGATAGGCAGAAAAAAAAAATTTCAATATTGGGAGCCGTACCAAACAGTCCCCAAAGAATGCAAACAACTTATTCCAAAGCATAGAAGCCACCTTACAGTGCAAGAACAAGTGGCTATTATTCTTTGAAGCCCCTATAGCACTTTACTCAAATCTCTAGAAAAATAGCTCTACTTGGATGCCATTTTTTAAGAACGTAATTAGTGTTAGTCCTATTAAGCACCACAATCCAGATAAAGACCTTAACTTTTGAGCAAAACTTCACCTTCTAAAGAGAATTATTAGGAACCAAATAACAACCATTCAGGTGAAAAGTCAAGAAGGTGAATTACAAGAGAAAGAATCTAAGGATCCTAGGGACCAAGTTCTCATATCAGAAGTAGGTGAAGGATGAATAACCAGCAAATTTTAAGGTCATTGAGTTAGGAGTCTCTTTGTCATTTAAGTTTTTAAAAAATGAAGGTTCCAAGTAAAATGAGAACCTTGTTAAATACTAAGGAGGCAAGAGAATGGTTATGACATGAGGAGAGTCTATAAATGCAAGGAATGGCAAGAGAGGACCCTCACAACCAAGTCTCCTCCTAAAGTAAGAACCTGTGAGCATGTCAGTAAAAAATCTTCAGCCTTATTATTTTGTATTGGTTGCAGTCTAGTCCAATGAGCAAAGGAATATCACCTTTTTCAACAGAAATGCCAACGTGTCATCATAAGGAGCACATACAAAATGAAAACCGAAAATTGACCTTGTTAGTTGTGCATGTGCTTCTCATATGATCTTTATAAAGAAGAAAGAAAAAAAAAAGCTGAGGAGCAAGATGAACATGAAACAAGAGAAGGGAATTTTAAAGTGCTGAGAGTTTGTTATTATAAAGGAAAATTCAAAATAAGAATATTACCAAGAGCAGAATCATCACAAAATTCCTCACTTTAATTTTCGTCTTCCTGTTTCTGCAAGATTCTCACTCCACCCTCATTCCTCATTTGTATGTCTTGCCTCTCCTTCTAATTCTTAATTTTACTAGATGCTTATCGAAAGCATAGAGAATATATGAGATATCAGGAATTTTTTTGAAAAAGAAAAAGAATGAAAGAAAGAAAAAGGAAAATAAATTTCCAACCAAATACAGTGTTTTTGCAAATAAAAAGATAAGAAAAGATTGAAAGTGAATAAGAAAATAGGTAGAGGAACGGGAAGGAGCTACTTTCTGGCTTAATTTTTGATGCACCTAAAGCAAGGAGATTATAACTTTATATCAAGCAAGTCCACTTATAACTGGAAATGTGATTCAATTCTTCCATTTGACCATCCTCCATGTTCCTTATGGAAAGAATTAAATTTCTTGCAATCGATGATGCAGAGGATGAATTTATTATTAAATTCTTTTTGACAAAAAAATTAAATTTAGTAAGGAATAGATAACATTTACAATATTTTCCTCTGGTAGAGGTGAAAGTTAATTTGTGTGGTGTAATTGTCTGGTGTAACGATTACCAATTGGTGAATTTAAAGAACTTTAACAATGTTCATTTCCTATCCTATGTGTGAAAGAAAAAACTCATGTATTACAATCTTGACGAACATTGTGAATAGAAAAGTTGTCTTCCTTTTATGATGAGAAAGAAAGAACTGACCTCATGTATTAAAAATTAATGTTACAAGCACATGAAAAAAGAATGTGCAGCAAACTAATGTAAGAAGCATTGAACAATAACTGGATCATTCAAAATCATAATATCTCACACACCTCGGTAAGTTCCTGTTATGTTCCACGGAGAAAATGGTCCCAATTCATTTTCATCCTTTCTAACAAATAGCCACTGCAAACATGAAAACAAATAACAAGAAACAGAAAAAGGTTACAATAGATCTGATTTTTCTCATTAAACCAAACTCTTTAATTATGATACAACAAAGGTACCAATTTTCCATTAGATGATTTGAAGAACAACAGAAACATATAGATTGACAGACTCCAGTATTAAGGAAATATAGACTAAATAAGTGGATTCAATTCATTTTTTTTTTCCACAATATGGATAAAAATAAAGAGAATGAGATAACATAAAGCAATTTTCCAAAAAAAGGTTGCCAATGATATCGTCTTGTTGCTAAGGACTTGAATACTAGAATTTTATACAACATGATGCTTCAGTTTAACAATTACCCATCATAATTTTTAAGAATGCAGGATATATGTTTCTCAAATGATAAATAAAGTCATCTACAAAGAGAGTTACATGTGAAATAAAAAAAAGATGGCCAGGGCAGCCGTCCCTTCTTTCTGTTCTTAACAAGGTACATAAAAGGTAAAAGCACTGTCAAGATGACTTGTTACCAAAGACATTAGTTCCTTCTGTTTTTTGTCTATAAATAAAGTTTCGGTAGAATCTAGGAGATTTCTGCTTACAACACTAAGTAAACACCTTTTTTTTAAATGAACAAGTATGTATATTAATATGAGCACCAAGGGGGTGCAACCCATATACATTATTTACAACTAAGTAAACACCTTTTGTCTGTCTGTCTCATTTGAGAATTGACCCTCATCACCTGACTTACTAATTGTATCTAACATTCATTTACATATTTCCTTCTAGTTTTGAACAATATCTCCACAGAATTCTCATTATTTTCAGGGAAGATCAATGAGTAACTGTTCCTTTCGACAAGTATACCAGAATTAAAGGTTCCACCTCTAATTATACAAGCAATTTTTATTTTCAAAACTAGAAAATGGAAATGGGAAAAACAGTTCTACGAGTCAGTTCGCCCAGAAACATCATTCAACAAACCATTTCAGTGCTCAAAAACCCCAAAATAAACCCAATTTTACAATGTAATCAAGCCATGCTCAATCTATCAAATGACAACCTATAGTCAAAATTTACAGTATCTACCTGAACATTTCCCCAAGCAATGCCCTACCGGAAAACAAAAAGAAAAATGAAATTATAATGTTGAAGTGAATGTAAATACCAACCTCATCGCCCCATGACCGAGCTCTCTCCCTTATCGGTCTCACACCCGTCACCGGCCAGGAAAGCACGAACCAAACCCATAATCCGAAAACAACCCGGAAGACAAACCCTAATCTCCATCTTTCAAAACACAAAAAACCCAAATTTTGCCTGGTGATCATCTGAAAACCCAATAAACCCATTTGAATTTTTTCCTTTTTCCCTAAAAAATTCAGTTCCAGTTCCCCTCCTCCGGTAAAACACCTTGCTGAAGAAGCTGACGATCTTGAAGAGCACAAGACAGCGACAAACAACCCATTAGAAATAGAGGAGGTTGCTTCAAGCGGAGTCAAACATTAGAACTAACAGACCACTAAAGGATCAGAAACCGGAAAGTGAGAGCTTAACAACTGACTTTGGTGGGCGATTTAAGATTGTCGAGAATTAAAAAAACAAAATCAAACAAACCAACAAGCCGTCACCAGACGACAGTATACCAGAAACCACACATACACAATTCTATATATATATAATCATTACTACAATCTAGATGTATGAATGCGAGTTAGATGTGGAGCAGATTTGGGCTTTCTTCTTTCTGTTGTTGTAAGTTGTGTAGCAGAGGTTGAATTTGATGTTGATTGACTTGTCCATTGGCGTAGGTAAAATGGAGGTCAGACCCATATAGCGTAGTCACTGTACGCTGTTATGGGAGACTTCCTGCGACGCGCTTGCTTGATGGTGGCCTTCACGCTCCAGAGAAATGTATTTACACGTACGACGCAGTAATGATGATATGTTTTCCAACTAATAAAAAAAATCGCGTCATTAATTAAATTATTACTATACGCATCATCACCTATTTTATAATAATATCATTTTAATTATGTTAATTATTTTTTAATTAATAAAAAGATTTTTAATGACACTTATATTATATGTATTACATATTATATATAAATTAAAATTTAAAATTTTTACTATAAGAGTCTGTTGTGTTCTTCACGTTTTTAATATTTTTGGACTTTACTATAAATGTTATTGTAAATTTAAGGTACTTTCAGAAAATTGAATATTTAATTTTAAAATTTAAAAGCTAAAGACAATAGACCAAATATATAATTAAACCCAATGAGTTCTATTATTATTTAATATTTCTTTCTCTTAAAAAAAAAAGTGAAAGATTCAAATTTGACCATGTGAGAAATGTATTATAATTGATGTGTATTTATTATTTAATTAATAAAATTAATTAATTTTAACTAAAAAGATTAACCATAAATACGTTCATTAAAAACAATATAATAACTAAAATAAAGAATTGACAGAAAAGTAAACCAATTATAACGTTAAGTGAAAAAGCCCATTCCCAACGTCAATAAAAGTGCATAAATGTAAATAATGGAAAAGTAAAGGGCTTTTTAGTCAATTCATAAATTTGATCGAGAACAGTCTCTAAAACGGCTTCGTATTCGTGCGTTTTCTTCCTTTTTTCCCTCTTTAAAACTTCGCCGCCCAGTTCTGTCTGGTAATCACTTGTTACTGATCACTAAAAGCAATTTCCTTTTTTTTTTTTTTTGTTTTCTTTGGTTAATCAATGAAGCAAATGGAGGCGGCGGCGAAGGGGATGGTGACGTCTCTGTCGTCTCTGTTCCCGGCAGAGGACGCGCAAAAGGCTGCAAAGCGCGTGGAGGAGAAAATCGAAGAGCAGCGGCATGAGATGGATCGTTTGAAGCAGTTTATCACTGATAACACCAACCTCGTCAACCTCGTGCAAAAGCTCCCGGAGAAGCTCCACCACGATATCATGGTGACTATATACGAGCAGATGTGCATGTAGTCGTACTTATTATTTATTGGATTCTCTTTTTTTTATTATTTGTTTTTTTTTTTTGTTCTTGTTTCCGTAGGTTCCATTTGGGAAAGCAGCGTTTTTCCCTGGTCGTTTGATACATACCAATGAATTTCTGGTATTACTTCCATTATCACTTTTATATGAGTTATCACTTTTATATGAGTCCTACTTTTGTTTTCTTTTTGTGGGAGCTAATTGTTAATCCAGTTTTAATCCGTTCTGTAAAATATGAGATTAGTGGGAAAAGTATGGGCTTTCGGCTTGCTTTTGCTTAATTTGAGCTACATAACGGTAACGGAAGGCTTAAATTTTTTTCAGTTTGAACTATAGACGACGTACCAGTGAGTTGGCGGTGATCATTCTCATTCATTTCAAAAAATTGAGAAAGAAAATTCATTTTCTTTGTGCATATTGATTTTAAAATATTGGTATATTGGTTGACTGTTTTAGTTAATTTGATTGGAATCTGCCTGCTAATAATTGAAAAAGGTGCTATGTGAATGGTGTATTTGACAAGCGTATAGAGGTTCACTACATAGTGTGATATTTAGTATTTGCTTAAGCATCACCATGGTTTTATTTACATGTTTCTTTTCACACTAGAATAATAATACATCTTTCATTTCTGTTCAGATAAAGAGGTTCTTATCAAAATGTTAGGAATTAGAAGCTGTTATTGAATGACCTACCACCCAAGAAATTCATCCGCATCAATGTTCTGATGAATGTTGCTTGTAGGTTCTATTGGGCGAGAGTTACTATGTTGAGAGAACATCTAAACAAACTGTTGAGATTTTGAAAAGAAGAGGAAAGTCGATGGAGTCTCAAGTTGATGATATTAAGGCCATGATTCAAGATCTTAAGGCTGAGGCTTCATTTTTTGATGCTACTGCTTCTGAAGTGACGGTGAGCTTGTCACATTTGTTTTTTGGTGCATCAATAAGATAATATGGTAAGAAATTTGTTAAGGATTTGGCTTGCCCTTGGGAGGCTAAACTAAACTAATATGGTTTGGTCAAGTAAGAGTTAGTTAATCTGATTGTCTAGTTGCTACCAAGAACGATCATGCTAAATTTGTTTTGTACAGAATGACTTGGTTCTTGCTTGGGGATTTTGGTGCAATGAAAACTACCTATGCAGTAAACTTCCCAATATGTCGTGGCAAGTGTGATCTTACTACTGAGAGCTAAATATTCCACTATGAAGTTTGGCTAGTTTTCTGTCAGAAAGAGAGAAGAAACGAACTGATAAATTTACCAAAGAGCAGGCTTTAGCTCATTTAAATTGGAGATGTATGCCCTCGAGGCAATTGCTAAACTAGGATCAGACAATATTTTGAAGTGTATGCATGGTATATCATTTCTTCATCATCATTAATTTAGGATCTTTGAAGTGACTGGTTGATATACCCAACTTTGGAGTTCCACCTAGTATTTAATGTCCATGATTTTGCAGTCCTCAATTTTAGATGGTGTTTCTGATCCACGTTGTAATTGGGTAAAATTCCGACCATTGAGATTTCTCTTTATTAAAAACTTGATTGTTATTTTCTAGGTAGAAAGGTTGATTGTTTGCTCTGCTTAGAATTAGCTTATAAGGTCTTCAATTTATGTTTTGGTAATCTAATAGGGTGGTTGCTTTTATGTGCTTGTAAGTGATTTAATGAAGGAAAGAATAAACACCTAGACTTTCACCTTTCCCATATTGGCTAAGGTACTTATTTTCTTAATATGATAATTTGCTATTTTACCTTTTCAAACCAAAATATAAGAAATGCTTATTTTACAATAAGAATATTCCTAACACATGGCTATTTATTTTCTAAATTGGCACTTGGGTTCTTTAAGCTGATTTCTCTCTGCAACATCTGGACAGAAGTGAAAGAAAACCTAGCATGGCTAAAACAGATTTATGATTTTAGGAAATGCATTTGGCATATCAGTTGGACAAATATTGGATCGAAAATTGAAAGAGTACATGTTAAAATCTTGACAATGGAATTAATAGGATGAACCTGCTCTTACATAGCTCATGTTTGCAAACCAATCTTGAAAATAGACATGCTTTCTCTTTTATTTCTGAAAAAGAAATTGAATTATAATATTGTACGTATATGTTGATTTCCGAAAGTATGGGTCTATCTCTCATCTCTTATTTCGCCCCTTTCTCTTTTGTTATGCTGACAAAGGGATTCAGCAAGGTGATGGATTTTTGGTGTTATTTTGATCTATAAATGAGAGGAATCTCAGTTAGCCCAGATATGGGCCATTATCAAATATGGCTATGGGGCTGCTTTAAAAAAATTTCATCAGGATATGAAAAATTATTTCTGTCCTTTAGATATTTAATTTAATTTTTTATCTAAAAAAATATTTAATTTAATTTAATTGTTTCATCTAATATGGACAACAGGAAGGTCTTGTGGAGATAAGAGAAGATTATGTGGAGGAAAATTCTACTGAAAGAGTATCTGAATCAGGCACGTGCTTGCCTCTTGTTTCTTATCAGTAGCTTGGTATTGAAATTATAGAATTCTTTGGAGTTAGTGAAGAGCGTGGGGGGTATATAATAAAGTTATTTAGTTCTTTTAGTTTTTATCTTTTGTTTCTCTTGATTTAATTGCTACAGTGATTCATAAGTTGGGGGTGTTATAATTTAGAATTGGCATGTTTTAGAAGCACAGCTTTGTAATTTTAGATACGAATACTAAGGTCTTCATTCATTATGTGTTTCCATACTGAAGGAGAGTAATGATTATCTGTAAAGGGCCACAAAAAGAAAAAAGAAGTCACGGCTTTCTTTTGTCAACCTTGTGCTAATTTTTTATAAGAGTTAACCTTGTGTTACTACTGGTCAAACAGAATAACAGTGCATGTAATTTTCTTTTACAGGTTTGCAAAACCATGTTTGCTTGTTCTTCATATTAGAGAGGTTCCCCATAAAATGTGACAAGAATAAGATTATTAGCATTTGTAGTGAAAGAAAAAGTTTTTTCCCGTCTAATTACAGATCTCTTATGATTGACAAAAACAGATTGCAGAGATGATGTTTATTTAAAAAAAAAAAAGAATATTGCAGAGATGGTAGTTTTATGGACATCACTAGGATTTCATTTAGTGTTTTGAGGTGGTAGTTTTAGACAAGCCAAAATTACTGAGCTGCATATAGTTTAGTCAGGCTGTATAGTTGATTTTAGACAAGGTAACTCAATTTTCACAGAAGCAGCTGTAACCTACAAAGGTTATAGGCTGTGATTACTTTAAAAAAAAAAAAAGGCTGTGATTAGTTGCATATCTGCATTATAGAGCATGATCCTTAATTTTCTCTCCATCTTGGAGAGGATATCTTGTTTTTATGTTTTGGTCTGTTCCCTGCTAATGGCGTATTAAGATACTAGCAACAGATTCATTTTTTTTTTATTGACCTGAAATTTTAGTGGCTGACATGTCAATGTTTTCCAGGTGCACTTGTGAAACATGATTCTCGTAATCTTCCTAGGGGTGACAATAACGAAGCCAAAGTTGAAGATGAAGAATTTGCTCGCATGATGTCCAGGCTGGATGAACTCGAGGAAGAAGAACTTGCTGCGGAAAAGGACAACAACGAGATGGCCAGAGATCAAGAAAGTAATGCAATTGAAAGTGAAAGTGGAAGTGAAAATGACGAGAATGAGGAAACTGAAGCTAATTCCAACAAGCTTTTGGATGACAACTCTCCAGACCATAATCCTAGATACTCTGAGGTAATTTTAGGATTATCCTGGTGAATAGTTTATTAGCACAGGTTGTCAATAATTACTGTTGTCAAAGGAACAAACATAAAAGATACTAAAATGAAGATTGATTGGTTATAGTTTTTAACAAGTAAATAATTCTAGTAGCTCATTTCTATACAAACAACTTGGTCAATGACTCCTAGAAATCCAGGTAAGTTTTGATTTATCTTATAACTTGGTTGTTTGAGAACTTATAATATGTTTTGATGTATGCTAGACATGCTTTGAGCATTTGGGTTAAACTAAAAGTAAAGGAAACTTGACCATCATGGTAGTATTTAAGTATGACCTTGCCCTCATAATACAATAAATCTTAATTTTACTTTCCTTGTTAGCTAACATTTATTTTTTATTTTTACTTAACTATATTGCACATCACTTCAATTAAATACTCTTTGAGAATTAGAGATAAGATGTTAGAGAAGATTTTTATTTTATTCAATGTATGCAACTTATTTTTAGTTCAAAATTAAAGAGAAAAAATGAGAGCTTTAGAGAAAAGAAAAGAATGATTGGACCTAAAAATGAAGGTTATTTAGTAATTTTTTACGGAATAGGGAGGCTTTTTTTATTTAAAAAAAAAAAAGGAATAGGGAGGCTTTTTGTTCATAAGGAGGCTATTACATAAATCCTGTATATTATATACACGAAGCTTA